GTCACAGGGAAAATAAAGAAGCCACAATTGTGATTTTAGGTGATTTTGTGGAAGCACTAAGAACAGTCTTGTAAATGTTAAAAATAGATATTTAAATGGATTACAGCCAGGGGAAATTAATGGCAACAAAAGACCACTGTAGTGTCAACTTAGTGTAATACAGTGGTACCTCAAGAGAAATTATTCCGTTCCAGGGTGGCTTTCGTATCTCGAAGCAAGTTTTACATGTAAAACGCCTAATCCGTGCAATGGCTCTCAGAAACAACCGTATAAGTTAATAAAAAATGGAAAACCAGAGAAAAATTGAGGAACATCTCTTCAATCTTTAAATTTACAAATTGTTTATGTAATAAAAAAAAACTGAATAAAACACATGCAAAAATACATAAAATGTGAAACCTTGCGATGTGGCAAAGTGTCGGAGGAGGTAGAACGGATGGAAGACATAAAACATAACGGCACCACGTATGAAAGTTAATTTTCTCAAGAAATTTGTTATAGTACATTATTGGTAATGTATACATAATGTTTCACTGGATTTAAAACTGATTTAAAGTGTTTCAACCCCTTTTAGCACTGTCTGCAACGGGAGAATGGAGCGCCAGGACCAGGAAGCGCAGGATGACTTTAGACTTAACAAGCGGATAATAGAGTATTTTGTAACTTGAAGCATTTGTATCACGGGGTACCACTGTACCTGATTGGAAGGCCACGACTGATCTATGACCCTTTCATTGGTGGAACTGAGTGTGAATATAATAGTGGGTAAGTGGGAAAAATATTAACGGAATTAAATTGACAGTATTCTGTTCTGTATGTAATTAATATGCACTGTACTGTGGACTTTTTAATCAAACTACAATGTAGACTGGGTGATAATTTTTTAATTATTTAAAAATGATTGTGAAAAATTTCATAAGTTGATAACGACAAGTCGAAATGCCAAAGTAATTCAGTGCACTCAGAAATGGCATCTCTATGTGCGACTCGGTGGAGGGGGAGCAGGATATTTATTTGGACTATGAAGTGGTGATGTGATCGATGATCGGCCCTCAACAAGCTCTTTGGTTCCAGACATTTACATTGTTGAAAAGAACGGTTACACAACTTCTATGGTCTAAAGATATTTAGATTTTGACAATCTGACCCAAAGCAGGTAGATTTTGAACAGCATCAACCTCAGACCTGCACAACTAACGCTACGGCAAAATCTTGCACAGACATTATCTAAAGCCATCACAAATGCTGTTGCTTACTGCATAGAAAAAGACATTCTTCCAATTAGCATTGTTAAGAAATTAAGCGCTCTTATCTGCATTCTTGACCCGAGAAAAGCAAAAGCACGTCACAAAGGTGAGAGAGAAGAGTGTCAGTATCACTATGATTATAGTCTTTGAATAAAAATGCCCCCAAAATGATCAATAGGTGAAATTATTGCACTAGTAACGATTGAAGGTTATTAGAGAAGGCAAGTTAGAGAAACCCAGTGACGCATTCTCAGAAGCGTCTCTCCATCTGCAATTCGTGAAATGTCTCGAGAAAGTTAACTTTTATACATAGTGCTGTAATGTTTTCAGCCATCCGTTTCACCTCCTCCGAAACATAGCTTCCCTCGCAAGGTAAGATTTCACATTTGTGTACATATTACGTATTTTGCATTTGTTTTATTATCATTTATTACATTAACAATGTGTAGATTTAAGGATTGAAGAAATATTACTTGATTTTTCTCTGGTTTTCTAGGCGTTTTACATGTAAAACTTGCTCCGAGATACGAACGTCGCCCTGGAACGGATTAATTTCGTATCTCAGGGTACCACAATAGTTGAAAACAAAATAATCACATCACCACAACTAAAAGCAAAATTCTTCCTTCGCTCAGCATACAACGTGTAACTCTTCACAATAACAACAAAGTGCATCAGATGCTGAAAAAGAATTTACAGCTCAAAATGCCACAATGGTTTGATGGCCCATAACGTGTTATTGCAGCATACAGGTACAAATCCATAGTGAAGTTGTCCAAGAAAAATGGTTCCATGAAAAGTAACCCATGATTGTGAACAACTACTGATGTCTGTTTTCAGAAAAGGCAAGAGAAATAGAAATGATGACCTTCCCTGCCGACACACCATAAGTGAGCTGAAGAGCATGTTCATATCCAACCTTAAAAGCAGAGAAGCCACGCATGCCATGATGCAGTGTGGCATTCATAATGTTTGCTATAATATGGCTGATGGTATTTCAGCACATATGTCCATGGAGACAATTGAGTACACCCTTCTCCACCAGTTTCCGTAGTGTAGTGGTTATCACGTTCGCCTCACACGCGAAAGGTCCCCGGTTCGAAACCGGGCGGAAACATCTTTTGTTTATGTTGTAACCTACTTCATTTAAACAAATTCATTTTGTTATTTTGAGAGACACTATTGAAAATAACATCAGAATAAACATTTAGGGGCTGAAACAAAAACAATATATACATAAAATTGTTTACATTTTAATCATTTAAAAATGAAATAGTTTTAGTCACATTTTAGTCGACAAAAATCAAAATCATTTTAGTCTAGTTTTAGTCACCAAAATATAAAAGGTTTTAGTCTAGTTTTATTCAATATAGATTTATATTTAGTTGGTAACTTTTTTAAAACAACACTGGTTGGAACCTTAATGAGAAAACAGCCCTAATTTCCTCATTTTTCAAATAAAAAGTTTAAAACTTAAAAACCGATTTATCTTCAATTTATTGCCACCGTTTCGTAAGGTATATATGTTGAAAATAGTGTCAAAAGAAACAATTGGACCTAATGACAACATGACATGCTACCTGCCACAGTTTCCGTAGTGTAGTGGATTTCAAGTTATCGAAACAACTTATTGTTTCTGTTTAATAAAGCGAGTGAGGGCTGAAAGCAGAGCTGTCTAAGGTTCTAAGAAAATAGTTAGTTGAACTGTACAAAGATTTCCAAGAAACTGGGAATGCCAACCATCTTTTTTTTAAAAATCTGATTAAGAACTGGAAAGTGAGGAATTCTGTTAAAACTTGGTAAATCAAAATTGTAAAACAGGTAGAACAAAATTTATAAGGGATGGAAAGAAAACCCACAAATAACTTCAGCTGAAATACAGGGCTCTCTGTAAAAGGGTTGCGAGGTGTTTCAAGGAACACAATAAAGAGACACTGGAAGAAAAGTGGGTTGTATGGTCGAGTTGCCAGAAGAAAGCCATTGCTATGCAAATGCCACAAAGTAGCCCATTTACAACACAGAGACAAGCCTCCAAACTTTTGGAAAAGGTAATTGGAGCGATGAGATCAAAGTTGAACCAGAACCACAAACGCTATATATTTACAGTCAACATGGATGGAAAACAAGGCTCTAGCTGGGAAATTTAGCTAGCTCTAGTACACTAGGAAACTTCCTTGGCTTAAAAAAAACATCTGATACACACAGATGTAGTGGGCATGCTTGGAGGGTTTTTTTCTTTTCTGTGCCGTGTTCCTCTCATATTCAGCATAGTGATCAGGATGTTTGAATTTCAGGTGATATATTAAACCCGACGTGGGGGAAGCCTTTGCAAACACACCCCGTCTTGAAATTTCAACATTGCATGTTTTGCAAATCAGTATCCGTGGGTCTTTCTCAAATATACAGAAATACAGCCATATTGCAGACTTGTTGCTTCCAGCAAGCAGATGCAGGCCGCAATTGAGACCAAAATTGACACTTTTGGGCCATTTTTAGTAGCCAGATATTCGTGCATCCCTAGTTGAAACTCATGCAGTTGCTATTTTTAGGTCCTGCTGTAAACTAGATCACCCTTCCCCAAGCCTACTCATCACCACCCGTGTATTCATGTGGAATGAATGAACAATGAATAACAGACAGGCTAGAATTTGTTCTCTTTTAGATTTACAACATTTGATCATGCATGTTTGGTGAGACCACACAATCCCAAAGAGCTGAATGTTTAAAAGAAAAACATTTTTGTTCAGACGTGATTTTTGAAAATAGCATCAGAATAAACATTTAGGACTTTAACCAAAAACGATTTACATATTACTCATGCTTTGCACCATTGACATAGTGTAAGAACCTTATGGAGGAAACAGCCATAATCTCTGCACCATTTCATAAGGTATTTATGTTTTCATAATTATAGTTGGAAATAGCGGTAAAAGAAACCATTGGGTATAATAACACAACTTACATGAAACCCACAACCGTTTCCGTAGTGTAGTGGTTATCACGTTCGCCTAACACGCGAAAGGTCCCCGGTTCGAAACCGGGCGGAAACAATTTATTCTTATGTTAAATGTGATTTTTTTTTTGTGTTAAATCACTTTAAATAATATTTAAATTAAAGATCATTTAAAGACTTAACTTATTTAAAGATTGAAAAATATTTTTAAACATACAGATATATTGAGATTACAACTATTTCAACTATTATGTCCTGATCTGGCTATTGTTCACACTGATATTTAATGGTGAACTTAAAGGTACAGAAACTAAACAAAATGAATTATCCACAACCTTTTGGTTTTCACTAAGATTCACGACTTTTTTTTTACTTAGCGTCACATGTTGAGTTAAGATACCCACGTTGTTTTGCTTGTGGTGCTCCCCATTAAACCTCTACCAGTTTCCGTAGTGTAGTGGTTATCACGTTCGCCTCACACGCGAAAGGTCCCCGGTTCGAAACCGGGCGGAAACAACTTTTTTTTTGTATTATTATTAAAGAACATTAAATGGTTTAACTTTACCAATTAGCAGCCTTCTTGTAACGACCATTGCCGTTTCAGATCTTCACATCCATTTTAAGGATCCTACGTCATCCATGTTTCATGTCAACATCATCTGTTCTGCTCTTCAATACAAGAAACTGTAACAAACAAGATGAAATATTTCAGATAATACTATACACATTTCTATTTCTAAACACAAATGGCCGTAAACATGACATTTTTTTTGGAAATTGCCTATGATGCATTTCACAGCGTTTCCGTGGTAGTGTAGTGGGAGCATCATGTTCGCCTAACACGCGAAAGGTCCCTGGTTCAAAACCGAAGAAACAATTTGTTGTTTATATCATCATTTTAAATAATACTAAAAAAAAAAAAACATAATAATAATATATATATATTATATATATATTATATATATATTTTTTTTAGTATATATATATATATATATATATATATATAGTTTCTTAATTTAGTCTCAATATCCCAATATCGCTATCACAATTTTGATAATACATTTATATCATTTAATAAAAATACCGAATACCGAAACGGTACGCAAGTGTCCCGAACCGAACAGGCCGTACGGAAACGGTTCAATACGTACCGTGAACCGTTACACCCCTAATTTGCGTATTCAAATATATTTATATTTTATTCCCAAAAACAAGGGAACAGCTGTGTATTGTTTCATCCGGCCAGTTTAAATAAAACTACTTGTGAAATGTCATATTTGGGTTTGACTGTGACTAAACAATTGCTCTCACTTTTTGATAAAAATATCGGGATATATATCGTATATCGATGTTCAGCCTAAATATATCGGGATATGACTTTTGGTCCATATCGCCCAGCCCTACGATAATCTAATAATTCTTAAAAAAATCTAGCAACATTTCAAAATGTAAGAAACAAATAAAGATAAGTTTTGAAGCAGCATAAGATAAGGAATGGTGTGAGAAAGAAATGTTTTGGTGTGTGTCTCATTTTATTTCTATTTTTGACTCTTACAGCTATTAAAATGAACTTTCCCCATAGTGGGACAAGTTTTTTTCCCATAATGTGAATGGATCTATATACAGGGCTCTAGACTAACTTTTTGCACTGGTGCGCCTAAATTTTTTTCAAAATAAAGTTCTTTATTTGAAGCACAATTCTACAAGAAAGGTAACTAAAACTTACTGAAAAAAGTGTTTAAAGTGCTTTACTGAGCTGAAATTTAAACTTTAAACTGATTTTGGTACCCATGAGCAGCAAATGCTTTCTTTGAAGCAGCATTTATTCCTAATTAAACAAATAAAAATGACAATACCATTTACTACCCAGATCAAGAGTTTATAATGCAGCCTATTTATTTATTTTTTTATTTTTAAGTATCAGAATATTATGGTTAATGCAGTAACGAGACAGTAGGCATTAGGGCTGGGCGATATGAAGCAAAAAATATATATCTCGATATCTTTACAGGATTTATAACCCCCACCCCACCCCCCAAAAAAACCCTACTGCAAAAAAAAAAATAATAATACAAATGTCAAAGTTGTTTTTTATTGAAGCTCAGAGGTGCTTCTGCAAATTTTCTTTCAGAAATCCTTGTATAC